CAAACCCCTGAATTTTAATGGAACTGGAAGGGTTGTGATTTTAAGACAATGGATAGAAAAGACGGAAGCAGTCTTTGAGATCTGCGCCTGCCTGGAGAACAACAAGGTCAAGTTTGCTGCTTGTACCTTTTCAGAAAGAGCTTTAACATGGTGGAATGGCCACGTTAAGGCACTGACTCTAATAGTGGCAAATTCGATAAGTTGGGAGAACTTAAAGATCATGCTGATGAAAGAGTATTGTCCACGAGGAGAAATTCAAAAACTCGAACAGGAACTCTGGAGTCTTAGAATGGTTGGTACAGAAATATCAACCTATACAGGGAGATTCTGTGATCTGGCAATTCTGTGTCCAGATATGGTTGCTACTGAAAGCAAGAAAATAGAGAGATATATTTGGGGGCTGTCTCCCCAAATTCAGTTAAGTGTGTTAGCATCAAGGCCTGATACTTTTGATAGCGCCAAAGAACTAGAACAATCTCTTATTGACCACGGGAACTACCGGAACTCAATAATTGATGTTCAAGATCAACAAAAAGAAAACAACCACGGAAATAAGGTAGGAACAAGAGGAAAGACGAGTCCTCACAAGAATCCTCAAGGAAACAACAACAAGTTACAGTCAATGCTGCTACGGTACCTACAACAGTCACTGCTAACCCATTACCAGCAAAGCCTTATGCTGGTAACCTCCCGAAGTACAATAAATGCAACTATCACCACCACGGACCTTATCGGGAAATGCAGTGCTTAAACTGCAACAAAAAGGGACACACCATTCGTTACTGTAAGAATCCAGCAAGACCGATCAACCAAGTACCCAACGCTGGTGTGAGCCAGGCTTGCTACGGTTGTGGCAAGGTGGGTCATTACAAAAGAAACTGCCCAGAGACGGCGAAGGTTGGCACAGACGGAAGGATGCTAACAATCACCGCCGCCGGAGAGACTACTCCGGACCCGTGTTAAAGTATCTGAGGCATTCGTTGTAACAGACTCATGAACTATTTAACAACTAGTGTCACTCGAGTCAAATCTTTTGCGAGATCCCGTCTGTTAAGGGATCCTCGTGCTGCGTATACTTGTCTTTTGTAGTATACCTTGTTCGCAGCAGTAGTCTTGTAGCTAATCTATAGTATTGTACCTCGGTTAAAAGTTGCACTGTTGTGTTTTGTCTGCAACACCGTTATGATTTCCATTTGACTTTTTGAGCCGAGACACGTGAAATACAGGGTGAATTTTTGTTGTGTCCGACAATTGGATTTTCTAGGCCACCTTCCCCACCTTTTGTGTGATCTGGAAAGGTCCATAGAACCTAGCTGCTAGCTTCTGGAAAGGTCTGCTGGTTAGGATTGCTGTCTATACGGCTGCAGCTTGAGGAACACCCATTCACCTTCTTTAAAATCAACATTTTTTATGTTCTTGTCCGCCATAGCCTTCATTTTCTATTGGGATTTAAGTAAGTGTCCCTTAAGATCTTCCAAGATCGCATCATGCTCTAAGAATTGGTCCTCTAGAGCAGAAACAGATGTATCTCCTTTCTGAACTTTATGACTCGGGGAGGATCACGTCCATACAAGGCCTTGAATGGGGTGGTTTTTCCAGCCGTGTGATAAGCGGTTTTGTGGCAGAATTCAGCCCATAGCAACCATTTGATCCACATTTTTGGTTTTCCTTGGATGAAACAGCGAAGGTAGAGTTCCACCGATTTGTTAACAATTTCTACAAACTGATGGTAGGCGGTGCTCCTGAGCAGCTGAGTGCCTTGCAATTTAAAGAGCTCCTTCCAGAACAAGCTCATGAAGATCTTGTCCCTATCCGACACAATGGAGGTTGGAAACCCGTGCAATCTCACAATTTCTTTGATGAAGGTGGCAAGTATGGTTGTCGCTGTAAACGAGTGTTTGATTGCGATGAAATGAGGGTATTTAGTGAGTCGATTTACCACCACCAAAATTGAGTTGTACCCTTCTGATTTTGGCAAACCTTCAATGAAATCCATTGAAACTTCATCCCACGCTTGATCAGGAATGGGCAAAGGCTGGAGCAATCCAGTCGGGTGGGTATTCGAGGATTTTTGTGTCTGACACGTGATACACCCTTGTACATACATTTGAACCGCCTTTCTCATGCCAACCCAAAACCACTCAGCTGCCAGCCTTTGGTAGGTTCTGAATTCGCCTTCATGCCCTCCCAATATGGAGTCATGAAACTCCTTGAGTAAAACCTGGACAAATTTTGATTTTTGGGGTATGACCATTCTGCCCATATACAACAATTTCCCATTCTCCCAGTTGTATCCTGTGTGATTTCTCTATCCTTCTGTAATGGTAGTTATGATTTGTTGAATGAAAGGGTCATTAGCCAATTCCGCCCCTAGTTCATTCATTAGCACTGACCACGAGGATTGTAACGATTGTAATTCTGCCTCCGCTGGGGTTGCACGTGACAAAGCATCAGCGACGTTGTTCGTGGATCCGGGTTTGTATTGGATTTCGAAATTAAACCCCATAATCTTGTAAATCCATTTTTGGTATTCTGGTCCCGCCTCTCTTTGTTCCATCAGAAACCTTAAGCTCCTTCGATCAGTTCTAATGATGAAGTGGCTTCCAAGTAGGTAGTGCCTCCACCTTCTTACAGCCAATACTATGGCCATTGATTCTTTTTCATAGATCGATTTGAATCTATTTCTTACTCCTAACACATGGATGTAATAAGCTATGGGGTGCCCTTCTTAAATCAACACGGCCCCCAACCCGGTCCCGGAAGCATCAGTTTCCACAATGAAAAGCTTGTTGAAGTTTGGCATGGCAAGAATAGGAGTATGCACCAAGGCTGATTTTAAGGCCTGAAAGGCATCTTTCGTAGCTGCGTTCCACCCAAAATTTTTCTTCTTGAGCAGATCTGTCAATGGAGAGGCAATACTTGTGTATCCTTTGATGAATTTTCTGTAATACCCGGCTAGGCCCAAGAATCCCCTCAACTCCTTCAAAGTTGTCGGAGTTGGACAAGCTTCGATTGCCTTGATCTTCTCATTGTCAACAACAACCCCTTGTTCTGATATCACGTGCCCTAAATAAGCGATTTGTAGTTTAACCAATTCAAATTTGTTTGGGTTTACGAAAAATTGGTGTTGGTCTAGTGTTTGCAAGACCAGTTCCATGTGTGTCTGATTTTGACTCTCATTTTGGTTGTACACTAGGATGTCGTCAAAGAATACCAATACAAACTAGCGTAGATAAGGTTTGAATACCTCGCACATCACTGATTGAAAAGTTGTCGGCGCGTTAGTAAGGCCAAAAGGCATTACCTTGAATTCGTAATGACCTTCGTGGGATCGAAAGGCTATTTTTTGAATGCCTTCTTCCTTCATTATGATTTGATGATATCCCGACTTCAGGTCTAATTTGGAGAACACACGAGAGCCATGCAATTCGTCCAACAACTCTTTTATGATTGGTATCGGAAATTTGTTCTTAACAGTCAACTTGTTAAGATTGTGATAGTCTACACAGAACCTCCACGACCCGTCTTTTTTTTTTAACCAAGTGGATCGGACTTGAAAATGGGCTCCGGGAAGGCTGAATGATACCTGATTTGAGCATATCATGTAATAGCCTTTCGATTTCTTCCTTTTGCGTGTGGGTGTATCGGTAGTGTCTAACGGACACAGGCTCAGTCCCTTCTTTTAACTGAATGGTATGCTGCTAGTTCCTCAGTGGTGACATTCCCCCTTTCCATGAAAACATCGAGGCGTACTGATGAACTATTTGTTTCAGGTATTCCGGGAAAACTGGTAAAGTCTGGATGGACGGGTGTTTTTCAATGTGGCTTACCTGTACCCAAATTCCCCCACCCATTGATCCAAGAGTTTTCACCATATTTTTCAGAGTTATCTTGGCTCATTCAAGAGATGGATCGCCTTTCAATGTCACCCATTGTCCACCTAGCTGGAACTTCATGTGCTGTGTTTTCCAGTTTGTAGTCACCGGTCCTAAAGTTTCCAACCATTGGACTCCCAGTATAACATCAGAAGTTCCCAGAGTCAAGGGAAGGAAATCTTCTCGGATGCAAATGCCTTGTAATTGTAGCGGTACCCCTTCACACTTCCCACTTCCGGTGATTGCTTCCCCGGTGACCAGAGATACTCCAAACCCCACGGTGGGCGTTATTGGAAGGTTGAGTTGTTGTATCGCCTCTAGAGACAAGAAATTATGTGTTGCCCCGGGGTCAATGAGGACCATGACCTCAGATCCATCCAATTTCCCTGTTAACTTGAGTGTTTTTGGATTGGTCGTTCCGATGACTGAGTTTAAACAAATTCCCGATAAGAAAGTTTTTTCTGGGGTCTCTATTGCGGGCTCCGACTCCGAATCTGGGGTTGGTTCTGTTTTTGGTTCATCATCTTCATTGGTGATCAAAACACTTAGCTCCTTCTTTTTGCAACGCTGCCCGGGATTCCATTTTTCATCACATCGGTAACAAATCCCCTTTTCTCGTTTCTGTTGCAATTCTTGATCCGCGAGCCTTTGAATTTTAGTGGTTCGATTAGTTGAATGTTGAGTGGAGCTATTTCTGGATCCAGGGTTAGCCGAGTAAATGATGGTTTTAACGTGTGTGATGAGTGGCGTCGTTGTCTGGGTAAGAGTAGTGGGTGGATTTGATTTCCGAGGGGTGTGGGATCACAACTTTCCTTCCACCTTGTCTGCGATTGACATCGCATGGTCAATAGATCTGGGCTCAAAAAGTTGGACATCAGACCTAATTGCCTCCTTGAGTCCGTTAACGAACTGACCCATGATAACGTTGTCCGTAATGTCGTCCGTAATGTTTCTAAGAGGGGCAAGTAATTCGATAAACGCAAGTTGGTACTCATGGACCGACCCGGTTTGACTTAGGGCTAACCACTGTTGACAGAGCGTATATGCATGAATCGGACAGAACTGTCGAAGGAGGAGCGATTTAAATTTATTCCATCGCGTGACCGGTCGTCTTCCGTGCTCCCATTAAAACCAAAGTTGGGTGTCTCCTTCAAGAGCCACCACTGCCGCCTCCATCTTGTCACTCTCGGATAGTCTGTAAAAGTTAAAATATCCCTCTATTCTCAAGATCCACCCATTGGGGTTTTCACTGTCAAACAGAGTCATATCCAACTTCTGATATCGCCAATTGGTTCCACCGGTGTGGCCTTCGCCCCCCCCCCCCCCCCCCCCCGCCATTTCCGCTTCTTGTTCCTCTGATATCGCTTTGTGATGCTTTGTTGTAGACCTTGGGCGTTTCTTCGACATAAAGAATTGGTGTGCTGCTAGGTTGTCCCCTCCTCGGTAGTCTTCCCATGGTTGATTGTTGTTCGATTTTTAGACAAGGCACCCAAGATTTCCTCCATCTTTTGGTCCATCTTCAACTAATGTTGGTCCATCTTCAATTGAATTGAAGCTATGGAGTCCGCTTGCTGTTGAATCTGATTCCCTTGGTTCTCAAGTTGATCATACAAGGTTCCTAGCTCCAGCTCCAGCGATTCCACCTTTTTAAGATGGGCCCCTCCAGTCTCTTTTCCTCCTCCTTTTTCTCCAACCATAATCCCAGGGACGGCTCTGATACCAATTTGTTGTGGAACCAAATAAATAACAGAGAAAGATCCAAGAATCAACATCAAATTGTATTACTCTTTAGAAAACTTGCAATACAATTAAGGAAATGAAAATGATAGAAAGTAGTAGCTGTTCGAGATGGTACAAATCTCCCAGAAATAGAAACTTCTATGAAGAATAATCAGATGCCTCCTCTAAATGTGTCCCTTTCTTCCAATAGACTAGAATGACAGCTGGTCCTAGAATTTCCGAAAATCCCCCTGCCATCCCATCCCACTACCCCTGCAGGTGTAACATTTTGTTTATTAAATAAATAAATAGATAAAATTAATAAATGAATAGTATCCCTAAATGCGGAAATAATTTAGCAAGGCGTTGGTTTTGGGGGTTAAAAAGTCATAATTGAGAGTTTGGAGGTTAAAATGTAATTTCCGAATTAATTTGTAAAGAATTTTGAAGGTTGAGGGCTGTTTAGTAAATTATGGGTTTACTTTGAAAGGATTTTTGAACACAGGGGCTGCATGGTAATTATTAGGACTTAAATTAAAAGGAATTTGGAGTGATGGGGGCTAAAGGGTAAATTATGGATTTAATTTGAAAAGGGTTTTGTGGAGGAGGGACTAAACTCGTAAAAAGGGACGGAGTTTGATATTGGCACGGGAATTGGATTCGGTGGGTTTTTCCTCCCGTGTGAAGACGCATCAGCCAACCCTAACACTAGAAAATGTTCTTCAGCCGCCATGTGAGACTTCTCAGCCGCCACCTCCCTTTTTACGTTCGTTTTTCCGACCAGACAAGTCTGACGTCGCTACTACAATGTCGTCGAACGTCGCCATCGCGACACCTGCTGTCGGAGACGTCGCGGACAAGCGGAGAACCGTCAAAGACTGGAGGAGGCGTTGTGTTTCTTCGTGTGAGGGTCGTGAGCCGCCGGAACCGTAAGGTAAGTCCACCCGCAACCCACATTTTCTCTCTTTTTCGTTCTTTCGGTGGTTTGACGTCGCATATGTCAGTTGTGACCGCTGGTGGCCTTTGGGCCATTGTTTTCATCTTTTTCGGCGACATCTGTCGCCTAGATGGTGGTTGTATGGGTGTGTGTTCGAGTATACTAGTTGCTTCCAGTATTTGTGGTGTAGTATGCACGATGTTTGGCCAGAAAACCCACCGTCACCACCATGAGGTGGTGGCTGCCACCGCTTGCTGCCGCATGCCACCGCGTGGGTGGTTGTATGTGTGTAATTTGGTGTGTGTGAGTACGTTTCCTTTATTTTGGGTTGTTGATTGGGTGATTTGGCCGGAGAAAAGTCAAGGAAACCCCACCACCACCACCGTGAGGTTCGACCGCCACCGCCCGAGGTGGCAGTGGGTGGTGCTCGACATAGTGGAACCCTAATCGGCCCAATAGCTTGATCTTGGACTTAGTTGGCTTATGATTGGGTTGGAAACCCTAATTAGGGTTTAGAAAACCCTAATTTTGGAAATGATAGTTTGGGATTTGTCGGGACCCGCGTTTGGACTGTTAGACTGGAATTTTGAATTATGTCCGACTACATTGTATGAAGGGCCTAGTGGAGTGATGGACTTAATTGATTAAGTCCTTAATGGGTTAATTCCTTAATGGGTTAAGTAAGAAGACTTAACCCTAATCGTCATTTCATGTGAGAAACCCTAATTTTGGTTGGGCCTTTCTGTTAGGCTTTGGTGATTGGGCTATTGATAGGCCATCCAAGAACAAGTATATGGACTAGAATATTTGGATTAGGCTTTAGGATAAGGGCCATTAGAAAGGCTTGGGACAAATTTGGAAAATTAGGCCATAGATGGGCCATAATTGGGCCTTGATGATTATGAGATATTGGACCATCGGAATGCCAAGTGTTTGGACTAGAATAAATGGTTGGGTCTTAAGTTAAGACCATGTAGAGGTTTGGGCCCAATTTAGAAAACTGGGCTATATGTTGGGCTTTGGTTCATTGTTTGACTTTTGGGCCTTTAGAGAATAAGTTTGGGCCTTGGTCTTGGACCAAGCTAGGTTAGGGGTAAAATGGTCCTTTTACTCCAAGTGTGGATTTATGGTTATGCAATGAAACCCAAATGGTTAATTGGGTTTTGTTTTGATGTTGACAGTTCGGGAATCTGTCAGCCAGCAGTCAGAGATTTATTCGCGAGACTTCAGCAGTTTGAGGTGAGTTTTCCTGCAGTAGGAACGGTACAAATGCACCAATGTCGACCCGTTTATGTATATTAGCGTATGCCGGACTTAGGTCCGATGCCGAGGTTAGCCCGATGTAGGTTATATATGTTCCGGACTACGGTCTGATGTCGGGGAAAGCCCGAGGAATATTTGTATGATTGATGTCTTCGTGATTCTTGCATGTGTTTGTTTATATGTTCCAGGCTTCGGTCCGATGTCGGGGCAAGCCCGAGGAATGTTTAGCTTAAAGGTTATGTGTTATATGTTCCAGGCTTCGGTCCTATGTCGGGTCAAGGCCGAGGAATGTTTATATGCTTATGTTATATGTTTGTTGATATGTTATATGTATACCGTACTTCGGTCCGATGCTGGGCGGGGCCCGATGCCAGACTTCGGTCCAATGCCAGGCGGGGCCCAATGCCGAATTCGTTCGATGTCGGGCGGGGCCCGATGTAGCGGGAAAGGCCCAATGTATGTTATTATGTGATTATGTGTATGGTATGTGGTAGTTTAGGGAGACTCACTAAGCTTCGTGCTTACAATTTTCAGTTTTGGTTTCCGGTACTTCCGGTAGCAAAGAGAAGAGCTCGGGATGACTGCAGTGCACACACCATGATTTTAGCCTGGGATGTTATACTCTAATATATGTTTTGACAGATGTTATGATATTTTGTGATACACTACTTATGATTCTTATATGATGATAGATGACTATGGTTATCTTAATAATTAAAAACGAAATTTTTGGACTGTATTTTTGGGATGTTTCAGCAGGCCTGTTGGCAGGTTAGTGGCCCCTCCTGCGTGTGTCATCCTTTTTTGATTCTTCATTATCTTGTACGTGAATTTGAGTGGAGGTTGCACAACATATGTTACTGGTAATAGTAAGTCAACGGCCACGTGGTATGCCACGTGGCAGCTTACATGAATTTTACTGTTTATTATGTACACATTATACCATTAATTTTTTTTTTTGTACACATTATACCTTTAAACTTTTTTTTTGTAAACATTATACCATTAAACTCTTTTGTGCACATTTTATCATTAAACTTTTTTGTACACATTTTACCATTAATCTTATATAATTTAGACAAAATTGCATAAATGGTCCCTATGGTATGCATTTTTTCTAAGGTTTAGTCCAAACGTGGATTTTTTTGGTTAGTTTCATCGTGGATTTGGTCCCTCAATAAACTGAAATGACCTTAATACCCTTGGGGTATTTATTTTATGTTTTTATTTCATTTTTTAAAAATAATTATTTATTTATTTAAACAATAAAGAAATAAAAGGGCCCACCTCTCTCTCTCTCTATGTATATATATATATATATATATATATATATATATATTATATATATATATATATATATATATATATAGTTGAGATCGGTTGAGAACTCAAAGTTTCCCGAGAACCCGGGAACTAAAAGTGGAGCGTTCGATCAAAAGTAATTCGTTAAGGACATGATCGTCATCTTACCAATCTCATTAAATTTTTAATTTTTTTGTGTTATTTAATATATTAATATAAATGTCTAAAAATTAACAAAATAACTCAAAATTTTGGATTTTTTTTTAAAAATAATTTTCGAATTTTTTAAAAAATGGAGATTTTTTAATTTTTTTCAAAAAGAATTGCATTTTTTTTATAAAAACTGCAATTTTTTTTAAAAACTGCATTTTTTCTAGAAAAAAACTGTAATTTTTTTTTCAAAAAAAACTGCATTTTTTTTTTCAAAAAAACTGCATTTTTTTTTTAAAAAAAATGCGATTTTTATAAAGAAAAGTGCAATTTTTTTCAAAATTGCATTTTTTTAAAAAAAAATCAACGTTTTAGATGCATTTATGCATATTTTTTCAAATGCATATATGCATATTTCTTATACTATAATATTCGTAAGTAAATTATAAAAATCTCATTTTTATTATTCAATCTATAAACATAATACAAATATTTTATTCGATACTAAATAAAATATAAAAAAACTACAAAGATTCACGGTATTATCATTTCTTCATATCAAAATTTCCATATTTTCTTCAATTTATCACTTTTTCACATTTTCAATATTTTCAACAAATTCTTCAAAACTTACAAGAAAATTTAAAAAAAAATGATTAATGCACGAACACTCAGAAAAATGCACAAGTATATATCATGTAAGATTCACATGTGATTATATCATGTAAGATTCAAATGTGATTATATAATGTGATATTCACATGTGATTGTATCTTTTAAGATTCAAATGTGAAATTCACAAGAAAATTAAAAAAAATAATTAACAAAGACCACTCACACAAAATGCATGTGTGCATATTGACATAATTCATATGTGATTTACATGTGAATCACATGTAATTCATATGTTATTCACTTGTGATTTACATGTGAATCACATGTAATTGATATGTGATTCACTTGTGATTTACATGTGAATTACATGTGATTAATATGTGAATTACATGTAATTTATATGTGAATCATATATGAATTACATGTGATTTACATGTGAATCACATGTAATTCACATGTGAATTAGATATTATATACATGTAAATCACATGTAATTCATATGTGATTCACTAGTGATTTACATATGAATCACATGTAATTCATATGTGATTCACTTGTGATTTACACGTGAATCACAAGTGAATCATATGTGAATTACATGTAATTCATATGTGAATCACTTGTGATTTACATGTGAATCACACGTAATTCATATGTGAATTACATGTGATTTACATATGAATCATGTGTGAATTACATTTGAATCACATGTAATTCTTATGTGATTTACATGTGAATCACATTTAATTCATAATTACATGTAAATCACATGTAATTCATATATACACGTGAATCACATATAATTCATATGTGATTTACTTGTGATTTACATGTGAATCATATGTAATTCACATATGAATTACATGTGATTTACAAATAACCGTCACACCATGACTCAGACAAATACAAAAATTCAAGAAAATTCGAACATGAACCATTATCAACTATGATTGACCTGATAGAAGAGTTGTTGGATGACACTTTGAATCATATCCACATGGAGATCCTTGTTCTTCTTCCGAGTCTTGTTCTTTCATTTTTACAGTTGAGTTCTCATGCATATATCATTATATATTGCACTGCTTCCCGTGAATGCAATCTGTAAAACATGCTTCCTTCCATGCATCTCCAAAGGCCTGTTATGTAACATACATGAAAACAAAAAGAATCCCCTTGATGACTCCATCAATACACTCAAGAAAGACTATATATGTATATTCACCTTTGTGTCATCAGAAACTCCATCTCCAACAACACCAAAGATATCAACATTCATAAGAAACCTGACACCACGTTCATCACCTGACCATGATGGCAAGTCAGAATCATCTTCTATTTTTAAACTTTTATCCTCAAGCATGTCCAAGGAGTCAGAAAAATTGTTTTTTGCATACTCACTAACCAACAATAGAGACAGAGAAAGAAAAGAAATAAATACAAGAGTGCTCATGATTTTGTTGTTGTTTGCTTAGATTAAATCATGTTTTGAGTCACCCAATAAGCCTCAAAACAATCTTTCAAAGTCCTTCTATGAGAATTAGTGGTGGAAGAAATCCAAGCTCCTATTTGTGCAACCTACTTTGTTTTCCACCAAATATTTTGTACCTTGATGAGTGGGTTGTGAGTGGGATTGATATTTTTATTGTTTGACATGCCACGTCTGTTAAGAGGATAATTTTTACCCTTATGGGTGTTCTTAGTGATGGCTTAATGTGTTAAGTGATCAAAAAGCCTTTGAAATCCAAAGCTGGAAAATTCAGCAAAAATTACAAATCTGTCCCTGTATTGGAAAAATTACTAGGAATCGAATTAATGATCTGTAAACTTTCAAAATTTTCATTTTGAATCTAGTTTATCCACTAATTTTTCCATAACATGTTGTTACTTCTAACTTAGGTGAAAATCACATTTTTTACCAGCTGGTCAGAATTTAGCTGCATTGATAGGCAGTTTTGTAAAAATCATATAAAATTGTAGAAAAATCGTTTGGGCCTTCAAAAGTACATTCTGAAAAGATAAAAGTCTGAACCTCTGGAATATGAAATAAAAACGGAAGTTATACAGGTTTCAAGTGTGCTAAAACAGCTTTAAACAGTGGCTGTTTTGGGTCCAGAATTGAGAATTTTAATTGTTAGTTGATTTAGGTGTTTTGGCTCATGATTTATAAGTTGTGAATACTGTTTTTTGATGTATAGAAATCAAATGAAGACGTGATATTTTAATTTATATGTATTAATTAATTAATACATATAAATCAAATGGTTGAACCAATAAAGCCAATTGCATGCCAGATGTGTTTAAAAGATCTGAAGGGCAAGGAATCTAAACAAACAACAAAAAAATCAATCTTATTAGTGTATTTATATGTGCAACAACGTATATGTATATATGGATTTATAATTGTAAATGAATCCATGTACATGTGTTTATGTGCATCAATGTATATGGAATTTGTCTACCACAAGAACATGTTTAACATCATCCATAAAACAATTATTATAAAAAATGGCAAAAACACATTTCATAAAGGAACAACATTTCAAGTGTACTAACCTTTAGAAGATGCTTCCCCACAGGAGTCTTCAATTCTCCATGTGTACTAACCTTCATCTAGGGAGACATTCAATATAAGACCAACAAATCACCTGCAACACCATTGAAGCAATCAACATAAATGCGTAAGACCACTATAGAGATCCAATTCACCAAACTCAACAAGAACAATTACCATAAATTATAGATATCATTACATCCTAATTAGACGAGATAAGATAACTTTCTTCATAACCATGATAATAAATAAACAATCTCTTTAATTATTATAGAATACCAAGTTCATTCCATTAGATATATAATCTCAACTTTTTTTTAACATGTTCAAAACAAAACAAAAGAAGAAATGCACATAAATCATCACTGCAGAAGTTAACTAACTGGAAGCATACGTTTAGGCACATTAAAATGCACATCAGGTAGATAATGATCTTGAGCATGTGCAACTCAAATTGTATCAAATACATTTTTATCAGATTACTAACTTATACAGATTTAGAAAAGTCCCAAAAGGAAGAATGATAATTATGATATCATGTACCAGGAGATACCAACATAAAAACTAATATGATAATATTAGGAGTAATTACATACATACAAACATAATATGTGCCCCAGTAAAATTATACTTACATAGATAAATAACACTTTCATTTGTAGAAACTGCTCATAGCATATGAAGAAGAACCAATTCTAAATATAACAACATAACAAAAATAATGTTTTTTTTTTCAATTTTCTCACAGGAAACAGATGCAAAAGCAAATAGAGAGGCCTTTCATGAGCACGAGTCAACATATGAGATTAGTTGATACAATAATACAATACAACCACTTTAATTAGAGATGAATTGTTCAATAGTTCACTGGGGCATTTTGTCAAACACCTAATAGGCAATACAACTCGTCGCTTCAAATAAACTCAAACTGTAACATATTAGCAAGCAAAAAACACACCTTAAACTGTAATTAACTCCAGATTATAATGTGAAATAAGTCCTATGATTAAGAAAAGAATTAGTCTTCAATGATTGAACAAAATTTCACCTGGTATACTTAATGATGAACTCAACATGGAAACATTGATGGTGACGAACAAGCTGAGACGGAAGCTTTAAATCAAAGCAATGTCGCTTGAAATCAAACACGTATAGACAAAGCAACGTGTGTTGATATTGCAGAAACACACTAGAGATCGCACTTTGAAATACAGAAACATGAGTAATACCTTCATAGCTGGCAATGGCTGTTTCAGAATAGATTAGATCTGTTAATCCGCGGAATGGTGTCGATTTGTTGATTCGTCGATTATCTGCCGACGATTTAGAAATTAGGTATCGTGGATTGGAAGTCAACGCAAATCAGAACCTCTAAAAATCTCGATTATCAAGTTGACATGATGAATTTCTGATTTCAGTAAAGAATAAAAAGCACTTTCGACTTGATTGAATATAAAGCCTAGATAGATGAACACGGCCGGCATCGATCTCTTGTATCGTGGATTATTCATCGATGATTTGGAGATGAATGACAATGGATTTGTAGTAGTCTGCAGAGGTATAGGTGGTCGATCAATAGAGGAGGGATGAAGAAGGAAGAGATACGGTGAAGAAGATGACGTGAAAGAAGGGAGAGAGAGAGAGAGACGTAAATGAGAGGTTTAATCAGGGAATTAAAATAATTCCTAAAATGACCTTGATTCATTTCAATTTCTTTACTCCCGTGTCTTATTTTCTCTAACTATTTACAAAAATGCCATAGATCATCTTGACCCTCTATTATTTTGATCTAACGGTCCTTGTTTGGTTCTCGGGTTCTCGGGAAACTATAGGTTCTCAAATGATCTTTCCTATATATATATATATATATATATATAATATATATATATATATATATATATATATATATATATATATATATACTCCCTCCGTCCCAAAATTATTGTCCACCTTACTATTTTAGTTTGTCTCAAAATTATTGTCCACTACCAAAAGTAGATATACACTTTTACCATATTACCCCTAACATTTAATAAAGTAACTTGAATAATTACAAACGCACATTTTCCATTGGTTTTAGAAAAGGGCAAGAAGGTCATTTTACTCAAAAAGACAAAACTAATTATTGTTTTTCTTAATCTATGTGTTTTTTGTCTGTGGACAATAAATTTAGGACGGAGGGAGTATATATATATATATATATATATATATATATATATATATATATATATATATATATATATATATATATATATATATATAGATGCTTCCATCTCGTATCTCTCTTTCAGTCGATGTATAAATTGAGGAAAAGTATTTGGGGTGAATCAAAAATGGCTTTTGAAGATATCTCATCTTGCAGGTCCAAATCGAGGTAAATGACCATCTCCTCCCTTAGTCCCCTCTATGTTACATCTATTCATGTGTTCATTGGAATCAGTAAACATAATTGGGGTCTTGGGGCAAATTGAGGAACACAATCCAGTCTCAAGGTTTTCGATGAAATAGAGAAGAACAACAATTGGATGCAGATTAAATCATATTTCAATTTGGAATACACTAAAGAATCCAATCTACAAAAATCCTTTCGTCTGGGTTTACAAACATAGAGCTTGAAACATGCAAAATCAAATCCGTTCTCTCCATCGAGCACCCCCATAACCAGTCGATTGTCTCTTGACCTCTGCCTCGCTCTCTCTTCGACGAATTCGTTGCCTACTGTGCCCTCAATTTTTGGACTCGCTAGTTTAACTAGAGAAGAAAAAGAAGTCATGGTTGAAGATAAGGTATCGGGGGAAGTTGAAGTTGCAGGTGTGTTCAACGGATACCAACACAGATGTGCCGAAATTTTAACGGGAGGTAGTTTGATGATCGTCTTCCCACCACCGCCATTTATTTACGTCTGAGTTTTCTTGGTTCTTTAGATCGATTGAAGTTGATTGAGTTGGTGTGTTTTCTTCTCCGGTTGGCACCGGTGAGGGTTTGATAGCATTTAATCCCATTTCACTATTTTAGAGATAAACTTTCATACATACAAGAACAATATAGGGAAATTCTTGAGGGGGTTTTGAAAAATTATGGGATTTTATGATATGGGTTTATGTTAATCGCTGATTGAGGATGAATAGACTGAAGAGAATTACTTGCTTGTGTGTTACGTTTATGGTTTTGTACATTACTTTGTATGCATTGATTGAGCTTCACATTGGACATTACTAAATTGTGTGTGTGTTTTTCCCATAGTGCATATATATATATATATATATATATATATATATATATATATATATATATATATATATATATATATATCTAAAAGAGAGGTAGACCTATTTTTTTATTGTTTAAATAAATAAATAAGTATTAGATTTAAAAAAATGAAAGAAAAATAGAAAAACAAATACCTCAAGGTATTAAAGTCATTTTAGTTTACCGAGGGACCAAATCTGCAACAAAACTAGCTCAAAAGGATCACGAAGCCAAAAAAGTCGAGGTTGGGACTAAACCTCCGAAAAAATGCATACCGCAGGGACCATTTTTGCAGTTTGTCTATAATTTATTCAAAGAATATCATTTCAAAAAATACATATGATTACATAAAAATAGGTTTTCCATCACTTGACGTGGATTTTACTGATTTTGTAGAGTTTAATAAACTTACCCTTATAAGTCATTTTCCTATCGGTCAACAACGACATAATTTCAATGCACTTTTCCAATCATCAACCATAATCAAGAAGGGGTTGGGGATTCTAATAAGATAACATGTACAAAATGTTTCCTGAGTTTATAAGTGTGCCTCAAATGCA